TGACTTGTTCTTCGGAGTGGCGCTAACGATCGTGCTTCTCGTCTTTCTTTAAAAGGAGCTGGCTGCCAAGTAAAACAATCATACACCACGATAAACACATATTGAAGCGCGTCACAGCTATACAGACACAGCTTTACAGACACATCCAGATACATCCTGACACCATACTGACACAGTGCGTTATATGTGTATGAACGGTGATTGTTTTTGTGTTCTATGATGGTCATGAATGCCATCCCAACAGCAACTACAGAAACACACAGACACACACACAATGTGCCTGAACTTTGCTAAGACGGACCACCGCACAAGCACAAATGATGTGACTTACTCAACTTCGAATTCCAAACAATAATCAGTTTGTGAACCAATTAATGAACTCTTGGAACACATATTTTCCACACACCCACACGGCTGTCAAAATGGTCGTCCCAAGCAGTTGCCTGGGCACAGAAACCTACGGTGACCTGACCGTGACTAGTGCGGCAACTCCCTCAGGGCTTGGACGCTGGCCTCTTTCTCAGCGCGTTGGTCTTGGGTTTATGCTTCGGCACATTGGGTGCAGCTGCTGGTTTCTTCTTAGCAGCCTGCTTGCTTGCATTCGACTTGGTTTTTTTCAGCTCGGTATTTTTGTTCTTGCCACCATTGGTCTTGTTGCAAGGTTTTGTCATCTCATTGATCCCGATCTCATCCTCAGAGCTGATGTCACACATTCCAAACAAGGTCCCTGCATTGCCGTTCCATTGCTCGATGCTCACGGTATTGACACCAACAATAGCACGAAGTCGATGGTTGCGTTGCTCCGCAGGCAACTCCTAGTCATTCAGCATGACAGCAGCCTTCACCAGGTCAAAAACCTTGATGTCCTTGAAATCCAAAACTCCCAACGACTCGCCGGCGAGGCTCTTGACCTCAGCTTCGTGGTCGCTCTTCTGGTGAAATATCAGAACACGCGTCATGAGGTTCTTGTTGTCCCCCACTTCGACAATTGCTGCGAGGTTGGACGAACCAATGAAAATCTTGTAGTGGATGCCATCGTAGACTTCGTCCCTCGCAAAGCTGAACTTGTGGTAGGAACCATGGAAAGCGCTGCAGCTCAAAAAGATCCTGGGTCAGAACTTCATTTGATCAATAAGTCTGCACACACTGAGGGTAACAAAAGTCAAAAGTGAAATGAACCTGAAACATGTATTTGCAAAAAAGCACTGTATATGTATATTCCCTTAAATGATGAGGCAATGTTTCTTTGGCATCAAGCTCACGTATGCCTAATCATACTGGGTCACACTGGCATGAAATTTGAAAAGAGCTTCATACAACAAACGTGAGACCCTCCCAAAACCTTTGTGAGTGCATGAGCCCACCAACTAGAGCACTCCTTGAGCATGAGTGAGCTTGAAAGGAAAAATTCAAGTTCAACAAGTGTCTTACTCCTCCCGGACCACCATTGAGGAGCATTGCCAATCCCATGAACGCTCACAAAACACCATTGCAAAATGTTGACACAAACATTGCAGAATGCATGCAGGTGCACAATACCATTTAGGCTTCAGTGAGGAGCTGTGCGGATTGCATGCTGGCAGGCAGCCATACTTTCTTACCAAGCAGCTGATCTCCAAAGATCTTCCCAAAGTGACCATAGTGATCAAAACACTATTGGAGCACCGTTGCAAACGTTGTTACACAACAAAGATGCTCCAAGCCGTGCTGCAAAAGAATTTACAACACAAAACCCCTATAAATGCGCCATCCCCTCATAGCCCAACAAGAAAGTGTGCAGTACTCCACATACCGACACTTGGAGCATCCTTTGCGGTAGACATTCTTGGCCGAGCCTGGAATCTTGGCCAGCAAGGCCTTTTTCAACTCCTCTTTGGGTGCTTCTGGCAAATCTCCTTGGATCGAACTGAGCTAGCTGAGGCTGGCCGCTTCATACTCACAGGACCCTTGGATTGGGGTGTGGCCACTGTTGTTGGCTTCACCACCGGCTACATAGCTGATGCTGGCCTCTTCAAAGGTCGCTTTGTGTTTCGATCGCGCGCTGTCCCTGCCCCCTTGGTTGTCAATCGGGCTTGCTTCAACTTCTCCATTGATTCCCTCAAAGTGATGGGCTGCTCATGATTCGTCACTGCATCGTTCTCTAGAACTGCAGGCTGTGCTCCAGCCAAAGGATCTTGCTCCTGCTTCTCCGAAGTTGCCTGTGGCGCAGGCAAGGATGGTATCTCTTTTGGGCCAACCTCAGGCTGAACCTCTGGAACCGCAGGCAGCTTGGGCGGCGCAGAAGCAGATCCGGGCAAGTCTTGCAAAGCCTGCGGGCCTTCACTACCATTAGCTGGTGGAGGCAAAGAGTCCGAAGAGTGTGCCCTGTCAAGCAAGCTTTTCAAACCTCGTTCTTTCGGCTGCATCATTGTGATGTTCCATGGATCACGTGCGGATTGGTTTTGATGCAAGTTCAAAGATGCTCCCATACCCATGCACAGCACTTGCAACAATTGTACAGCTCCTGGATGCATGCCCATGGTGTTGATAGGCTGCCCTGTCAGCTCCTTCCGTGTCTTGCGAAGAGGGATCGTCTTTGCCAACCTGAGAAAACCACTACCCAAAGTAGAAAAACATATTTTTAACGGAGGTCTCAAAAAACAATAACAAATTATATTTCAAATTGCTAACCATTCCAAATTGCTAACTTCGGTAACTCAAATATAAGTGTTTCCTTTAAACAAATAACCACACATATGACTTAGTTATAGGGCCAACAAATACAATAACCAACTTACAAATAATATATTTTTGACCTCAGTTACATCATGTGTACAATATTATAACATATGTTAAAACAAGTTGTAACATATGTTAACCCTATTTATATCTAGGGTTAAACTACGGGGGGGCGCTCATTGCAGGTGTCGCCTCTTCGACATCCATTTTGGGTCCCCCAAAACTTGCATGGAGACCGAGGTTTCTCATCTGGAGCGCCGGACTGCATTGCCTTCGCAACTGGAGCCTTCTGAAGCTGTGGTCGAGGTAGTCAAGTTGGCGGCACCCTTCGGGATCGCAATGACCAGGGCGAGTTCTTCCAGTTCCGCCTGCGGGTACTCACTCAGGTCCTTGATGGAGTTCATTCCGCACATTCATCCACCAAAAATTCCTCGCGCACCGTGGAAACTCGGTCGGTACGCTACCTGACTTCCGCCCAGCTTGGCCAAGGAGCCCATGATCTTTCCCAGGACGTTCATGAGGATGAGCGGGTCAGGCAAAGTCACATTCAATTCCTCAGCTCGCTGCAACCAACGGCGCCACTGCCTGGAAGACCACAAAGAGCTTGAACAAAATGCACACAGTTGTCACATGCCTTGATGACATGACGTCACGTCTCAACTGGTCAGGAAGGATGCCTGCAGCAAAAGCGACACTCCCCCCACAGTGGCGTCTTTTGGGCGCAGGCGCAACCTCTCCAAAGGTGTGGCCACCAGCCAATGTTATATAGTTCACGAGCGGCAGAAAGACATCCATCCCACCAAAACTGTGAGGTAGAGGACAAATCCGCCATCAATGGATGACTGTGGCCTATCCCCGAATGGTAGTGCTGCTCCTTCAGCCGTAAGCTCCAAAGCTCTGACTGCCTCTGGAATCACAGGAGCCGCTGGTCCATCCCCATGAGGTCGTCCGCCATGAAGGCCTGGAGGTAGATCAGGTCTTGACCCGGGAGGTGCGCCTGCTCCGGAAGGATGACCAGGACATAGTCCAGGATGGGTGGAAGGTCCACGGCCATCGACTCCACCACTAGCAACTCAAACATACGACGATGCATCCCCACCACCTGCTCCATCAGTGATGCGCTTGACCTCACGAGCAAACTTCTCTCCCGCCTCCTTGAGGATCTGGGCGCGAAGCTTCTCAACATCACCAGGTCCAGGACTTCCCGCAGGTGCCTTCGCTCCTGCACTTTCCGCCATTCTCACATGACCTTCACCACGTGCAGCTTGTTGAACTGAAGTACTCCAGGAAGGGTTCACCGTGGCCAGAGGGCCTTGGGGTGTGCGATATGGTTCGAGCACCCTGGTTTCACCGCTTCCCGCTCTACCTGCCTTGTGCTCGCAGGCGTGCCCAGTCGTGGATCACCATGTGGAGCTCCAGGATGTTGTGGAGTACCACCCAAAGAACCATGCCCTGCAAGGAGTCCGCCACCTGGTACGTGTGGAAGTCCAGAGCCGGGTCCATGAAGGGGTTCAGAAACTCCGAAGAAGAGGATCAAGTAGTCCAGGGGTAGAAGACGGTGGCATGCGATGGCCAAGGGCCTGTTGCAACAACTCGACCGACTGGCGTGCAGCTTCTTGCAAGCCATTGACCCGAGGCCGCCGCCGCACCGTGATGCCCGCCATGATGTCCAGGTTGAAGTGTCCCTTGCCCGTCACCTGTTCCCCGTTGTGGTTCATGACCCTCAGCCGCAGCATGCGTAGCCAGGCGCCGAACTGCAAGATCATTCCGCAGGTAGTGACGAAGCACGTGCCGACTGCCTTTGTTCTCGGATCAGCCGGTCCAGCCTTTGATCAGCAGTCTCTTCAGGCTGCTGTCGCCGTTGTCCTTCTCGATGTGCACGTCGAGGTTCCTGCGCCTCAGCTGGGTCAGCTCTTTCGCGAGGGCCTTGCCGTCTTCTTCGCTGGAGCGCTGCCATGGCGGCCAGCAACCACACCGCTCACCTAGCGCTTGTGGGTGGCAGGCCTTTGGGCTCATAACCTAAGTAAGGAGGTATGAGATGTGTCCGGAGCAAGCGGTCTTTTTCCACCTGCTCAGCTTGAGCCAAACCATGTGGTTGGTCCGTTGAGTGCATCATCTCGAAGCGAAATGCTCGATCGAAAAGCGAGTCGAGTGCATGGCCATTCTGCCACAGGGGCAAATGGGCAAGGCTCCCAGTTAGAACCAGGAACCGGCTGGAGAGTGGCTTCCAATCTAGTAGCAATGGCCTCCAACCTACTAGTGACGAGTGAGTGAGAATCCAGGAGGTGTGGAAATCCTGGATCCCCGACGAGAGCCAATGCTTCCCCGGCTTCGGCCTCTACGACAGCGTGCTGGAGGACTTCACGGAGCAGCGAGTGAATGCCTCGAACCCGATCGTGTGCAAGGCATGGAAATGTTGGAAGCGGTCGATCGCTCCGTTCGTAGCGATGTCCTTTATACTACTTGCATCCTTGTTACTAGTAGTAAGGCCAGGAGCGCCCCGCAGCGTCTGGGGATATGCGGAAGGAATCAAGGTGTGCTAAGAAGTGGATTTTTCATGCCCCCCTCTTCCTAGAGGAAAATCGTTTTCCAAGGGGCCAGAACATCGACTTCCATGATTATAGGGAGTGTAGTTGTTTTCACCCCAAAATCGTTGTTGAAAGCTTTCCGAGCACCACTTCATGTCGTGAGTCTTGTTCATGTCAGCCGGACTTGGCAGTGTCTTTGGTGGGGCTGTTGCTGGTTTGAGCACTCGAAGGAAGGATGCTTGGAACAAGGGATAGAGTATACACAACTTTGGATCTGAAGCAGCACTTACTCCGCTGCACCAGGCGTGCACTTCGGGCACGTTCTCAAAGGCTCTGTCGGATTCCATTGGCGAGACCTACATTTGCGCCCCATGTGCCAAGGGAACTAGCCAAGACATGGGTGCGGCTACCTATTGCAAGCCATGCAAGTCAGGCGAAAGCGGGTCAGGTTGGTTCAGACCAGACCTGCGTCGCGATAGGGTGGATGGCGGGTGTGGACCTACAGTGTTAAGACCATCCAGGGCATCAAGGTTTTCGTTGGAGCGTCCCACTGTAACGCGTCCCACTTTTTGATTGGAGATTTGTGTGAGTCTTTCGCCAAATGTTTGGATGTATCTATGTTGGAGGTCACTCCAATAGATTGGGCCACTATGGCTAAGACTGACACTTGATCAAACCAATGGAGCTGGCCCTGTTCGCAGGCGAGTATCAGGATGAGATTGGGAGCCGAACTTGCAAGCGCTGTGATATCGCCAGCTACCAGGAGAAAATGTGAGATTCATGTGTGATCATGTGCGCGTGTGCTTTACTAGGTCACGTCAGTTTGTAAAGTTAAAATCAACATTTTACATCCTTCTTGAACTTTGCATATGTCTCTGCATCATGCACAAAGAATGCGTTTGAAGCTGAATGCATTAAAGAACTGTTCTGTGCGTCCACGTCCAGCATCCACTCACTCGAGGAGGAACAAGGTGCTGAAGAGTGCAAGAGCTGTCCAGCGTCCACAACCACCCTGGGTTTGGGAGCCTTGGTGATCGAATCCGCCTGGAAACCCCCAGTCCCGAAACAAGTCTGGATGGAACTCCCCAGTTCCAGCCAGCCACTTGCGTATATAAAGGATCTCAAGCTGGTGCCAGAACTTGGAACCATGTGTTTCAGGTTGGGTGTCTCACCTGTAAAGTCGTAGTCGTAAAGCTATCGTTAGGGAGTCCAACCTTTAAGATCTTTAAGACAATGCCCAGCCAAGAATTCCGTCCACCAAGCTGGTTCTCCGCCCAGGATCTGTGCTGCGCGCGGACTGTGGGTGCCAGAAAGGCTTCATCAACACCGCTGAGCCAGGCGGGACATCTGGCCTGCCGAAAGGGCTGTGCTCGGAGTAGGGCCAGGAGGCCATCGCTCTTGCTCCCTTCGTAGTAAGGCCAAGGAGCTACGTTCGTAGCCTCTTTGTTCCCTCCGTTCGATCGGCCACCTGGTGACCAGTTCGGGGAACCTGGGGTCTACCGCCGGGCCAGTCGTTGAAACCAAACAGAATGGCGCTGTGTCGGTTCCCGAAGGTTCACCTTTGGAGTCTGGAGACGGGTGGAGTCGTGTGCTACAACGGTTTTGGCTCTTATGGAGATATAAGTATGATCTAAATTACTTTTTTAAGTATAGCTTATCTTGACTTACGGGTCTTGTCGTAACTAACTTATAAGTTCCCTAAGGTGCCATAATTTTTGGAGAGCCCTGGTGTGACATTTTTGTCCGCTGCCAGGGAGAAAACCACCCGCCCATTTCCCAAAAAAAGCAACAGAAAAAATAGTTCATATCCTGTGAGTTCAAGGCTTATATAGTTTCACAGTTTTTGAATATTCCAAGAGGCTCGCC